AAACTTAAAATATAAAAAAAAGAATCCTTTTTTTTAGTAAAAAGCAAAAAAATCAGTTTTTTTTTGTAATGAAAATTTAAATGAGGGGAAAAAAACAAAAGGTATCAATTTTGGAAACAAAGAAAAAAAGATAGGTATATTTTAGGAAGATAATAGCAGAGGTGGTGTAACAAATTTTTAGCAGCCTTTAAGACTATGCTGATTATTGGAACAAATTAAACACCGATAACAACACAGCAGCACATCACTGATATAGTTGGAAGATCTGGCGAACACTTAAGTATGAGTTTTTAAGGCCGAATCAAAAACACATAGCCGAGCAGTATCGGCAGCTGTATTTATGTTTCCTCTAACAACGATATACTGCTGCTGCTGCTGCTGCTGGTGCTGCTGGTGCTGGTGCTGATGCTGTTGATATTTTTAGATTCTTACGCAACTGACTTGTTGTAACAGTGTGGTGCAAATGGTTTTCGCAGAAAACTAAGCATATTTTCTGCTAAATCTTTTTTATTTTTAGTGCTCATCGGATTATATTCCTGTGAAATCTGCTCTTTTTCCTGTATCATTATATCAGAGGAGGAAAAAAAAAAGCAACAAATAACAAAACACTACTGTTCAAACCCTTTGTTCAACGATTATATTTAAAAGTTAGCTTACAAAGAAATAATAAATGAATGAATATATAAATAAATAAATGAATAAAATAGAACATTATTTATTTATTTTTTTTTGTTCCTCTTTGTATAGAAAAAAAAAAAGTAATCTTTATTCATTTACTGTTCTTAAATGTTTTAAAAGTTTATCAATGGCAACAAAAAAAAAGCTTTTTTTTTTATCTTTTCTGATCCTTTTCTTTTTTTTTTTCACTAATGCGTAGGCAGCAAATTTTACTAAGTCCTCTTTTATATATTTGATACATATATACCTTTCGTTTTTTTTTCTGGTTTTCCAAAGTATTCTTTTAGCAGTAAAATTTGTTCACATTAAACCAATTATATTCTCAATATATTCAAGTTTTTTATTATTAAACCTTTTTTTTTATTTATGATAAATCTTTCATTGATTTGTATCTTTTTGATACTCAGATTAGCAAATAACTATTTTAGAAAACAACAATTTCCATTTTAGAGTTTATCATTATAACAACCAGTTTAAAGTCATCAAAAAATATCTGAATTTAGAGTTGCATATTTTTTTTTGTCCCTATTTTATCTGTAACAATCTGTAACAATTATCCTCCAATTGTAACAGTACAGTTATCAACAATTTACTTTTGTTAAAATATAGGATAAACTTTTGACCAACTGGCAATAATTTTGTTCGAACAATTCTTTTCTGCTGTTGTTAATTGATTTTTTTAGTTACAGCTATAAATCCAAAAAAAAAAAAAAAA